ATGCACTTTCCCGAATCCAAGCTATCTCCGCTGACGCCGGCACTGCTATCGACTTGGCAGCCATGGCCACATCGTAACTCAACGACACTGAGGTTGATCTACTACTCAGGTCTCCTTCATTGGACATATGGCCCGTTCCGCTGACATCATCAGCCGGCACTATACTTTGCGATTTATCTCTGGACACACCGCGCCCAGTCGTCCTACACGAGTTTCGGTAGACCGTGTTCGACACGTAGCACGGCTTGTCTCATCCAAGCGTTCGTGCATCGGTTAAACACGTAACCACACGATTCCTTTGGCGCAATGTTAATCGTGACGTCCGTACTTGGGCAGCTGCTTGCCTACCGTGTCAACGCGCGAAGGTGCACAAGCACACGAGAAGCCCATTAGGCACGTTTCCGACGCCAGACGCACGTTTTCATCACGTGCACGTCGATCTCGTAGGTCCTCTGCCGCCTTCCAAAGGCTCTGTATATCTACCGACCTGTATCGATCGATTTACTAGATGGCCTGAGGCCGTCCCTATCCCAGATTGCTCCCCGGAAACAATAGCGAAAGCTTTTCAGGAGCGCCGGGTAGCTCAATACGGCTGTCCCGCTATCGTGACGACCGATCTAGGGTCACATTTCTCGTCAACCATTGCCACGTTGCTTAAGGATTTAGGCTGTCGCCACGTTCAGACGACGGCGTATCTTCCGGCCGCTAACGGCATGATGAAGCGGTTTCAACGCCAGTTGAAGGCAGCGCTACGGGCGCACGTAGATCCTTCATGCTCTGAAACACTTCCCCTCGCTCTCCTAAGATTAACAAAGACGGTTAAAACCGATTTCGAGGCAACACCAGCGCAGCTAGTCTACGGTTGCACGCTGCGATTGCCCGGACAGCTGGTAGCACCAGCCCCCTCTACTTCCTCTCTTGATTACGGAAGTTACACAGATCGATTGGCTCACCAGATGCGTGAGCTGTGTCCACCCGCTCCTCGATCGCGGAAGACACCAGTGTAAGTGCCTGAGAAGCTGTCTACGTGCTCACACACCCTTCTTCGCGCAGACGGTGTTCAACAACCTCTTCAGTCGCCGTACATAGGACCTTCCAAAATGCTACACCGTGTGAGTAAGACGTACACAATTGACCACGGTGGTCGACGCGAATTCATCACCATCGACCATCTAAAACCCGCCTTTATGGAAGAAACCACCTCGCCTGCGTGATCTTGCAATGCTTCGTGCGACGTCACAACTCACCGCACCAGATTACAGAATCCTAGTGCAGTTCAACCAGACCACGATCTCGGTCTGCAAGCTTCAGCCCTCCCGTGATCTCCCAAATCTAGTCCGCCACCTCCCACGACCAATCGACGTGGTCGGGAGGTACCTTATCCGGTTCGTTTCTCCGCCTATGTACAGTGTAAATACGTTTAGCTTTGTAGATATTGTATGCATTTGCCCCATTTTTGATCGATTCACGTTTTGAAAATAAAGAAAAATATCAAAAACCTCCGAAAAATCTTTTTCTAAAAACATATACAAAAACCGAAAAATTTAAACACGGAGATCATTCGTTCGTTCTTTTTGTCGTTTTCTATGCATGTTTTCTATTTTCTCATCTTTACATGCCCCAGCCCTTCCCTTCGATCGACTGGCCCACACGAGGAATGTTTTCGAGGACCCTGAAGCAAACGCTGGTCGTTTCTCTGCGGGACGAGTGTCGCTGCTCCGTGAAACGACGGTCATTTCTTCGTGGGACGAGGGTCTTATTGGCGCGGGGCGGGGTACGGCGGGGGGAGAGACCACTCTCAAGCGCACCGTTTGGCAGCAGAGGAGGTTGAGGTCGTGTCGGCATTTTTCTGGGCCAACCAGCTTTTTTTAGTCCGTCAAGCCGGCTTCAACGGCTCGCCGAAATGCACCCTGCTCTGCAATCAATAAATAACAAATCACAAACGGCACAGCGGACTCCGACTTCCGGCGAACCCCCATTTTACATTAACCCTCGTTCACTTTTACTCGGCACGGTTTTGTCTTACGTACCTCGATTCAACAGTTCTTTTCGAAATCGAAGGCTTTCTATGTTCAGCTTTCTAGTGGGAGGGGGGAGAGCTCTGTATTGCCCAAAAAGAAAACTGCTATCTTTCATGTACAATTTAATTGTTGACCGATTGTACATTATCCTGTCTTGTTTTAAGCTTCCTTACAACCGGCTCGACACTCGACCGCCTTGTAAGTTCCCGCGCTCACTTGTTCGCTCTTTTCTCTCTTCATCCGTCCGCTTCTTCATGTAGCCCATCGAATAGAGTCCGCTGTGTCCGACTCCAATTCCCTTCTGATATCCGCGTTTACTTTCGCGCGCCGTCTCGGATTAGTATTAACTAGTCCTACAACGCCAAGTTCAGAAGACCAGATTCCAGGGTGCAAACACAAAAACGATTCTTGCCGCATTTCGCACAGGATTCGCAAGCAACAGAAAATACCTGACTGGGAATCTCAACCATGTTCTGGTATCGTTACAGAGAGATACAGCGTCCGACATCACCATCATTTCCCGATCGACATAAGCTAAGCTGTGTAAACCTCCAGTCAAACAAGTCTCGCGGGGCTCAAAGTGCATCAGGAGAACCGTTGTCGATAGGCGGAGAAATTGACTGTGAGCACAAGTACAAAAATTTGCAACTCCATGGCGTCATCTACCTAGCTTCTTGTACTGACATTAATCTACTCCGAATGGATTGAATTGTGAGGCTACATCTGCTCGACGAGCCATTGAATCTTGTGTGTTCCGAAACAAGTCATGAGCTGCCATACCGACTCATCCCAATGGAAATCACTCCGAACCGCTTTACGCGAAATACGCTTACGTCTTCTGATTCGAGCAGGCCAGTACGGATACTAATGCGCTGGAAGTGGAATCAGCAGACGGGACGGCATGAACAGTAGCATATTCACCTCTATCCACTTTGCTCGAAGCAACAGAAAGGAAACCGTTGATTATTCTCTGCAGCGGCCAGAGCATCAAGGATCTGTTTGAATAGAAAGTCGTTGTATTGTAAATTCGTGGCAGTATACTGTCAGGTTTCACAGCTCTAGGCAGGAGAACCATAAGGGTTCTCAACCGAAGCCTTTGGTTCAAAAACCTGACCGCCAGGTAGGGTACTGCGGATGGTTTATTTTCTCCTGTTCGCCATAAGTTGACACGACTTTTATAAACGTCCCATTAGACGTCATTCTTTATGGATCTACGGTGAATCCACGGTTTTTATTCCAAATGCCTCGATGAGCCCATCGGTGTTAAATTGCTTTTACTGACATCTTTTCAGTATTTTGCGATACTCATCCTGCCACTCCGCGGCACCTGTTAAGCTTTAACTTGTTTAACGCTATTAAATCAATGTGCCCCGCGTTAGAATACGGGCGCTAGTTTTAACTGTGCTGAAAAAAACTGATCAACACGGATGAAAACTGTTTGTCTCGGACAGTAGAAATCACGGCAGTTAGGGTGACTTGTAACTTGGGCACAGTATGTCGACACATGAGTCTAAAAACAAGCGGAAGTCTGTCGAGGAAACCATTTCCCACAGTCGCTCTAGGTTTGGTAAAAACTGTCTCGATTTTAGTCCAACCTCATTAAAGCAGTTGACATCGTTTTGATTCGTCTTACTGTAGACAACAGGGGAGTATGGGATGTTCGTTGCTACCAGTTGGTGTCCGATTGCAGACCGAAAATATTTTCAAATTTTTAGCAAATGCTAAGTCTAGGTTTGCCTAGTCTGGTAGGACATTATACGAAATTCTGTAGCCCATGTGTTATGAGGGATGTGGTGCCGAACCTATTGAAACCACCAGTTCATACGCACACGGAACGTTCTATTTGCTCAGTGACGGCGGCCGTAAAGTCGTCCATAATTTGTTTGTTTCTGCGTCGAGACAAATGGGGGACAGTAACTTGAGCAGCATCCACTCAAACATTTTAGGTTGCATCTTGGGACTAAGTTCTCAATGCACTGTAACGAGCAGCAGAACAATCTTTGCATCGGTAAACACCAAGAAGAGTTAATAAAGGTGGTAACACCGTCGGCACGAAAGCAGACAAAACTGTCATCGTTGGCGTCTTCCACATCATTGTGCAGCCAGGTCTCGTGCAGCATAATGACTCCTAGCCACGTAATACCGACAGCTGTCAATGTTTTCATTTTTTCCAATAGCGAACAAACATTGTCGATAAGAAAAGTGGGTGTTCTCATAATTGCAAAGTCTTTTTTCAGGAAGTAACCCTGGAGTAAGTACCATGCTTTTCTGCCAATTCGTTTTATTTTTTGTAGATTTCCTCCCACTTTAAGTCGGTGCGTTGTTATATTGCGGGGAAACAACGATTTGAAAATTCCATGTGTGTAATCTATCATGGCACTGATTGTAACATAAAGTAGTAGTAGAGCAATACATCCTTAACATGTACTGTGAAAAGCGTATTTTGGCAATTCGTCGAAAAAGAAAATGTAGAGCACGGCCCAGCCAGAGAATTTATTAACGCGAAACTGGACGAAGGGTCTCTGTATCGTAACAGCGGCTTGGGTCTCTATAGCGTGATTTCCCATTGTCACGTTGCACAGCTCATATTACCTATTCCTATATATGGTCTAGCAGCCTGCGAACGCTAGACGTAGTCAGGACCGCGGTTTCGGCTGCCATAACCGTGGCTCTTACGACTGACTACCGATCGTTATGGAGCAGTGGCTTGGTGGCTGCAAGGCGAATGCTTTGGTGCGTTACGGGCACGTGGCAGCTGCAGATTTACCGACCTGACAGAAAAACATGGACTGGCCACTGACCTTGTTGCCGCCCCAGCTCCGGAGTGCCTACAGCAGATACGGCTTTGTATTCACACTACCTCCGTGGACCAATGAGGGAACGGCCCAGTCAATTTCCCTTCTCTGTCAGGCGGTTGACCAATCGGAGCCAATGTATGCTTCGATCATCGAACGGAGATCACGACGCGCCTGCAGTCCGTTCGCTTACTTCCCTTCGGTGTGTGCGTCGACACCACCCACGCAGCCCAGCGCGCTATGCATGTGCAAACGCGCATGGATAAGCAAGTGCGCACGTGTGGACAGCTTGGCCTAGGAACGGCTTCTTTAGGTCGACTAGGGAAACGCGCTGGCGGTTTACCTTATCCGGACTTCGCAATTTCACTCTCTCGGCAGGATTTTGCCCTCTGGTGCGAAACAACATTCACCTCGGAATACCCCTGTGGATTTATTTGGGAGTGCTCAACCGACTCACGAGTTTCTCAGCCTACTCTGCCGAAAATAACTTTTAACGCGGAGCAATGGGTTGCACGCTCTCGAAAGAGGAGCGTGACGCCTTGGAGCAAAGTCGTAACATCGATAAAAAGCTAAAAGAGGATGGTATGCAAGCGGCCAAAGATGTCAAGCTGCTTTTATTGGGTGAGTTCTATCTCGCTACCGTTTTACCTCCGAAAGTGAACAGCCGTATACCGACAATCAGGCAACGGAACAGGCCTCTCCAAATGTAGCTTTACCACAGTTCCTCAACTATCCTGTCCGCACAATGGGCGGCCAGCCGTCCTATTTAGGTGTGTTTTTGGTCAACTGCATAGGCAGAAAGTAAATATAAAGATAAATGGCGAACAGGTGAACCCAGGAACGATCAACCCGATCGACGAGTGCATCAAGTAATGTTCAGATATGTTGTTAAATATTATTAAACGTCTTTAACCGCCTTTATTTGGCAAGAAATCTCCACTTTTTAGTGCGATCATAATTTCAGTCAGTGTGAGTGACCGTTTGAGTGCCCTGAAACGAATCTCGGCCACACAAAATTTTACGGTTTAGACTTACAGCTATAGCATTGCATAATTACAATCTGGGAATTAATTTCCGTTTATGGTTGAAGGTATTTGTGACCAGAGAAAATGAATTCACACCATATGCTTGGGTGCACTGGGAAAAACTTTTCTGGATGACCGAAATTCGTCTCAAATGTGTCCAACTGGTACGGCCATGGACATAAAAACCGGTCACGCAGGACTCCCCAACGATTACTCCAGTGGACATTTTTGATCGTTCGTGTAATGCGGGTATGAACTTGGCCACAGTATTTTGTTTCGGGCCTCTGTTAAGGACGCGTTCTGTCACCATCTTGCACCTAAATAACTAACCAACTAACTCTTCATTTCTCAACAATGCGAGAGACTGTTCCCGCATATTGACAGATCAACCGATGGATTGCGCTTATCAACGTAATCAACGCCGGATGCTATCTCACTCAAATTATCAAAGTGCCCTTGCGCCAGTTGTTTCATCGCATTTTTCTTTCTCCGATGGGTGGCAATCCAATGCCCCCACATTTTCAACTAAGGCCTCATCATAAGTTTTTCCAGTTACTCGTCAACTACCACAGGCACTGATCTTGGTTGCTACGTAGCCCTTGCCTCTAAGCGTTTGCGATTTAGTGCGTCTTTGTGTAAAGATCAGCAATAATTCCATCTTGTACTTTTACGCATTTCCTTGTGCCACCACAGACTAGAGCAAGAGCTAGCGTACAAGCTTGTTTTCAGTGGCTCGTCGTCTTGCTGGTACCTCATAAGTAGGGGAATCAGAACAGAACAAATTTCATTGACACACACGGATCCGAGCTTTGGGGCCGAATTATGAACGCAACAACGAATGCTTTCGGTTACGTAGTCGCACAAGTAATCGTTTCACCTAACAAGATAGATACGAAATAGGAGCGGTCATTTCTGCCTGATCTGATCCATTGTGGGAAAAAGGCCGATTGTAAGAGAAGTTTTATTCAAAACCAAAACTTATGCGTTGGGCTGAGCATTCCGAACAGCAGTTTAAGCACCTATAGGTTTCTATTCAGGAATTCACAGGTCTCTCTGGTAACTAGACGCTTCACCATCATCTGAGGTTGAGGTTGCTTATGATCTTCGCCTCTTAAAGTGCTACAAAGCCCCTGGCTCAAACAAATTCCCAGTGCCTATTTTCGAAGATGGAGGCCCATCGCTTGAACGGTAATTAACTTCTTATCTTCAAGAAATTTGGATCACTGAAGCAATTCCGTCCGATTGTGGCCTAGCGGATACCGTGCTCATCTTCAGAAAAATTGCCTGAACGGACCACGCCAATCATCGAGGGAGGAAACTCATTTCTGTTGTGTCCAAAATGCTTGCCGCCCTGCTTTTAAAAAGACCTCCTGATTGGTGGACAAAACGTACGCGAGGAGCGAGCTAGGTTCCGCTCTGGCCGGAGCTGTTTTGATCGCATCTTTAGTCTCCGCCAGATACTCAAACATCGTCAAACGTTCAGCAGCCCAACAATCCCTGTCTTCATGAACACACGAGCCACATTTGAATCATTTGACTGTCGCACTATGTAGTTATCTTTTTGAGCTGGAGAGTGCCCGAGAAATATGTTAACATTCTTCAAGCCATTTACTCTCGAATCTCAGGCCGAGTGCGGATGTGCGGCGAACTTTCGTCCCCTTTCAGTATCACCAGTGGCATGGATCAGTGCTTCTCAGCAACACCCATCCTGTTCAACTTCGCTATGGACGACATCCCACCGGCGTTGAGCTACTTCGGGGGGCCGGATTCGGGACTTGAAGTATACAGACGACATCGCCGTAATTTGCGATTCCTTACAGACCGCCCAAAATATACTCTATATATTGAAAGTGTCTGACTTCCAGTTCGGAATGAACTTCGACCCATCAAAGTCTATGGTCTTCCTGCAGAACTGGTTAGTACTCCTTATCTTCACCATCCGGGTCATCCTTTGGAAGTGGTATACAAGTTTACTTACCTCGGAGGCTGCATGAGCGCATCTCTAGGGTTGCTTTCGCTAGTACCCACCATCTCTTGTGTCGATGCAACCTCAGTACCTCTGCCGGGCCGTCCACAGTGCTACGGTGAGATCATTCTTATTCTATGGCTGCGAGACTTCACTTGTTCATGCAAAGACAGTTCAGAGGCTGTTTTTGCTCACCTCTGCCTTCAAAGCATTGATGGTGCGCGACGTCAAAATCACAATAGTAATGATTACGTCCATCGAAGAACTTTCAGGTCAGACAGATTCTGCAGGCCGCTGAGCTGCATACTTTCGCTGCACATACTTTGGTGATCTGTGCACGTGCTTCGCATTCCAGTCCAGCATTTACATCACCGTGCCTTCTTTATGCGCGCAGGAGTCGGCTGGAAGCGAATGCGAGGTAACAACCAATGATTTGATTCCAAAGTATGGGGCGCTGACCGCAAAGTTGGCTGTGACCGGCCGATCTCGACTCCCTGGCTGGAGTTGCAAGGACCACGAGAGCGCATGGCTAGAAACCCTCTCAGACACGATCAGGACTCGCACTCAATGACGGACATGTTGTGAGGCCTAACTCCCGTGATAACAGTTGCGCAGCTTCTTCTCTCGTTTCTTCATATTGAATTTAGTCATATGTTGTAGCGCTCTGCCCACTTCACTAATTTCGGCAAATTATCAAACGAGGCTAGAGCAATAAGTTTCCGGATGCACAAAGTTTTATCTTTTACAACAATTTAAGCATTATATTTTCTCGAAGTACTCTATACCAGCGCTCATACACCGTTCCGTGCACTTAAATCATTTGGAGAAGCAGGTGGACCATACCGAAGCGTGCGACCCTTCAAGCAGCTCAATAAAGACCTCTACTGCAGCTTCTGAACACTCTTAGCGGATTCCACACATCATGCGCTAGACATTTGGGAACACAAAATATCACACGGAGCCAGGTCTGGACTGTAAGGTGGGTAACCAGCCTGAATGCGTTCTCTAGGCAGAAAATCTACGACGACGTGGGACCTGTGTGCAGGTGTGTTGTCAAGGTGCAGCAAGCTCCTTCGTACTCGAGTCCTTAGACAATGCCTGGCTGCAGCTTCCAACACTTGTGGCAGGCACTGGGCGGCATACCAGTCTCCGGTGACTATGCATTGCCGTACAATAGCCGCATGACCGGTATTGGCCACGAAAACAGCCACTATCTACTTGGCCACACTGCGCTCACGCCGGCATTTCTGAGTGACGCTCCACCAACGGCCGTCCACTGAGTCGATTATTGCTTGGTCTCTGGGTCGAAACTGTACACCTAGGTCTCATCACCCCTGAGGATCTCAAACTGCATTTGAATGTTCACCATCAAACCTGGCAAGCATGGGAGGCACAAATTCACCCGAGCTGTTCTCCGGTCCTCACTGAGCTGATGGGGTACCCAGCATGCGCAAACCTTACTGAGGTCGAGGTCCTCATATAGGATGTTGCGAATTGATCCCGACGGCTTTCCCCAGCTGTACCACAGTCATCCGCGCGTCCTCCTTCAGCATCGCTTGCACAGCAGCAATGTTGTCCGTGGTGGTAGCCTCTACAGGTCGACTACACAGTACATCATCGTCCAGGGACCGCCTGGCACTCTTGAATTCCGCAAACTACTCGAACTCAAACACGGTGACTCTTGCAAGCGCATCATCACTAAACGCAGCACCCAATCGCTCAACACTTCTGTTACTTTAGACCACATTTGCAGTCATAGAAAATCATCGCCCTCCAGTGATATCGCCTGAGTTCTATAGCGACCGTTATGACTTGTGAGCTGTGCTGGGCTGTTGATATAGGGTTCTGTGCGTCGAAATCACTGATCAATGTTCAGAGTGAATTATAGTTCACATTTTTCTTTCCAGGTCATCTACACCTAATTTGTGCACTGCGTGTCCGGAAACTTATTGCTATGCCCTCATGTATGTACTTACAAACAACCAAATTGTGAAAAAAGCATTAGTTGTAGTTATTCGCTGTTCCGAAATTTCACAGGATGCTACAGAGACGATATTTCACGCGCAAGACCGATTACAGTTGTCTCCTTACAATCTTTGGATCGAAAAGTGTCATTCTAGCTTAGACAACTTGTCAACATCAACATTGGGATACTTTACTCTTGGCATCTGACTTCAACATAAAATAATACTCCTCGGATTCTATTGGTTTGGTAGACGCTATCCAGACTAATCGATGCCAACGAACGTGAATCAGAAGTCGCAGTAATCACAACAGTTGCAACTAAATCAGATATCAGTCACATGATGCAATATCTCATGAATGCCCTACCGGTCAGTGCCAGGATGGTCCAGCATGTCAACACACATAACGCACTGCTACAGAAAATTTTGTCCTATATGAGATAGAAGGGTCCATGGGAAGAACTTTTTCTCACAGTTCGATTCTTTGTCAGAACTTTTCGCTGAGCGCATCGCCGTACCAGAAGTCCTGCGACTGCACAACTGCACGAAGATCATCCACGAATTGCTCGAATGAAGGCACTTGTTCGCAGCTACATCTTTCAGCCGATGGTTGATAGCTAGCTAGAGGATATTGGCTGTACCCTTTCCAACTACCCATTTGTTTAC